AACTTCTAGAATTAACTTTGCAGGCAGAGTATATACTGGATCTGCAAAAACAAATTACTCTTTTGGGTGGTGAGACAAGAAGGGAATCGAATGGAAGCTTTGCTGAAGATTCCATCTCTAGCATTACTCCTGCAGATAAGGTTATTTGTTGGGCATTTTCAATCAGCATTTTGGAATGTTTGAGTGGAAATATACCATTTTCATATGTATGCTGCTTGATGATGCATTGTTCTTCATTAGGGTGCTCTAGCTAAGGGTGGTTCTATTAGAATATTGAAGAAAAAGACGAATAATGGTCGATGGCTCTTTGAAAACCCCTCCCACATTTCTCCTTTGAAAACCCCTCCCACATTTCTCAAAAGTATATCTAGTACAAGAGCCAAAACTCACCACTAGCAGATATTGTCCTCTTTGGACTTTCCCTTTTGGGTTTTTCCTCAAAGTTTTTAAAACGCATCTACTAGGGAGAGGTTTTTACACCGTTATAAAGAATGCTTCATTCTCCTCCCCAACCGATGTGGAATCTCACATCTAGCCTCTTAAATTCTCGGCCCTCTCTATTTGTGACCCCTTACCCCATGAAAAAACTCTCCTACTAGCTTACTAAGTTGCTATCGATCCCACTTCCTTAGGCCAGAGATGTCAACATATTGCCAAGGCGAAAAAGTTACTCTTTGCTTGTGAATGCTTGTGAATGTCAATGGGGATTTATCTTCTCCCTGAGTTTAGGAGATCATTGTTCCCCTTTACTTTATATTTCATAGTAAAAGGTAATGCATTTTGTTTTACTCGTTGGATGCAAGCTCTATCCCGGATTTTGTATTGGCTTTCGACTTGTGTTTTTATGTATCTAACTCGTTAATGTTTATTCGCCAACAGCTCCGAACACAGTTGGACGACGCGATAGCTGGAGAATGCCCATTTTGTGGTGAGTTAATGATCCGTGAGATCTCTTTGCCTTTTATTTCATCAGAGGAAGCGCAACAAGTTAGTTCATGGGAAATTAGACCGCATAACCTTGGAGGACAGCGGAGCTTTTCTTTACCTGCATGATTCGTTCTTCTTGCTTTTAATCTTCAGATTGGACATGGATTCCAGGTCCTTTGTGGTGTGTTCTTGAGCCTTCCCCTGCATTGTTCGATTTACTGTTCCCTTCTTCAGTTATTGAACTCAACATTTTTCTCTGTATTGGTTCTAAGTTGTAATCTTGAAAGTAATGTTTGAGATTGATACAAGTCTAGAAAGACTGCGAAGGAAATTCTTGGAAGTAAAGTTTGAGATTGATTCAATCGAAAGAACTGGATTACAAATCATCTAAAGATTCATATGGAATTTCCTTCCTCAGACAGCTTGAACTCTTGTTTGCTTGATCTTCTACTGCTGATGAACAGTATTCTTTATTTTTAGTTCCTAAAATTTCCTGCCGACTGTGACAGATTTGAAAGATGGAGCTTCTAAACACTGAAATTTGTTCAGACCCAAGAGTTTTCCGTTCATCAAAGCTAATTTACACACAGATCTGGAATCTGATGCTTCCATCTCCACAAGTTGCGTCAGTTCAGTTAAATTTAAGCTCAATTAGTTGCACATAAACATCCAAGATATGCAAAGGAAACAGAATCGAGATTTTCTATTATTCAACGAAACCGTTTCCATTTCCATTTCCTGAACAATTATTTCAAAGCTACAAAGCGATCCTTCCAAATAATTTTCCAGTTATCGATCTTCGCCTCGATCTTCATCGCGTCAATTCCAGATCAAATACCTTGGATTTCATCTCGCTTAAGTAGCCCTATATCCGATCCCGGTCGACGATCGGCGATCAGATCCCTTCATATATCACCGAAAGTAACCTAGTGGCCAAATCATCCCTGGCCCCAACAGTTCAAGTACATGACTCGCCGGAGAGAATCCTCCGTTTGTGCCATCCTCTCGTCGGCGTCTAAGTTCCGGACAGCTCCGGGACCTTCCGATCCGACTAAACTGGAAAGAGGCCGGAGATCTGCCGGATTTTCCCCGGAAGACAAAAGTCTCCGACCTTGTCGAAGAGATTTGAGTCCAGATTTCCACTTGTGTCCGATCTCCGTGTGGCCTTGAGCCACTGCCACGCTCGCCGCCATTCCAACTCTGTTCAGGTAACTCATCTTCAACCTCGAGTACTTCTTAAAACAAGTTATGGAGAAAAAAGATCCTCTGTAATTGAGTCACTCAACTCGTTCACCGGTAATGCGTTGATTGAAATATCGAAGGAATTGCAGTGTATTTATAGAAGGAACCGGTTGGTTCGGTCCTTAAACCGGAAACAGGTTTAGAAAACCGCCGGGTTTACCTCCGTTTGATTTAACAGCAATCAGAAACTAAGTTAACTAACTAAACGCATTCACCTCTGACACTAACGGAGATCATTTGCAGATATTAATATTTTAATCAAACCAACAGGTAGGGGTTACGTGTCACTTATCCATACAATGTCAGATGACTAATCCATTAGTAGCCAATCAGACAGCGCCAAGTTTTAAAATGGCAGGCCCCACTCATTACTTCTTTCCAACCCAATCCCCGAGGTAAATATTTTGTCGTGACGTGGTGGTTTAATTTTTACGAAAAGGACACAGAAGAGAGGGTACGTGTTGGTTACAATTCAACTGGTGGCCAATTCATGCTGACTGTACCTGTACCGTTAGATTAAATTAAAGAGGGAAAATTTCCCCATTCCTAAGGTAGCATGGAAGCTCCATACTACCATATTAAATTAATATTAAAACTAATGTGGGTCCCACCTAAAAGGACTATATGTTAAAATGTTATTTGTAAAGTAATGGTAGTATGGAGTGGCTTGGTGCTACTGTAGGACAAATTAACTTCTGAACAAAGCGAGGTCTGTCACGTGACGATGGATGGGCATCCCGTGCCCCCATGACACTTTTTTTTTTTTTTTTTCTTATTTTTTTGGTTCTTCTAATTTGCGGATTTAAATCTTCATAATCTGTACTCTTTACTTTGTTTTAATTAACTTTTCTTATTTTATTAAGATAAACACAACTTTCAAATAAGATGGCAGACAACAAAATGATTAAAGATGTATAATATTATATGTTTATAAACTATTTTTTTATATAGACACAATCTTGCCTATTATAAAGATTGTTATTAGTTTACAATATTTTTTTTCTTTACAACAGTATGATATTATTCCTTTTGAACACAAATGGTCATTGTATAAACAGTCATTCCAATAAAACATGTTTTATGTTCACTCATATAGATCATTTCCAATATTCTTCCAACATTGTTATATTATTCATTTTTAAAATGGTAATAAAGGGTTTGAATATTAGGTCGGGAAGGGAAGAGAAATGAAAAAAATTGAGAGTTTTTAAAGAAATATGTTTTTTTTAATGAAGAATATTTGGATTTGTTGATTGGCCGATGGAATTTCGGAAAATCCGAAACCCCATGCCTGTGGTTTTGCTGGGTGTAGTCAAATTATGACTTATTTGCCCTTGCCTGGTCCCCTTACTAAGCTGCCCTTTATGGGCGAAAAAGACATTTTGGCTCTTGGTGTCTTCGGATGAGAATGTGATTCTGAATTCGGCTAAATTTACTTTTTGTTATTTTTTTTAAAAATATTTTTTTTCTTTTTAAAAAATTGTCATTGTCCACAACCTAATTTTAAACTTTAATTAATTTATAGAAAAGAAAAATGAAAAAGTTGGATGGAAAGGGATCAAACAAAACTTTAGTGGTCATGTCAATCAATGTAATGGAGCCCAATTTACAGTAGCCATAATAATAATAATAATAAATAAATAAATATTTATATATATATAAAAAATGTAATTGGTTGGTATATATATTAACTTCTAATTTTTAATTTTTTTTTAATAAATTTATTTTCACGTTGGCTAATTTCAATTCATTTTATGTATTCCTCCTTTAGTCGGATATAAAAATGTGGATAATAATAAGACATTATGTTGTCATTATTAAGGGAAAAAAACAGGACATTAGGATAAGTGGAATTGGATGGATCTACAACGGTGCATCTTAATTTCCAACCCATACTCTAATTTCTAAAAAAAGAAACAAGATTGTTTTATTTTGAATGAGGGTATTAAATTAATTATGAGATGTTTTGGGGTTTCAATTAAATTAAATTGGAAGGGATGGTTGTTATTTGATTTATCCGCCGTGACAGCAGCTGAAGAAGAAAGCTTGTTGGCCTGAGAGAGAGCCCTTCCGGCAGAATTCCACCGCCGCAAATGGCCGTGGTCTTTTGATGCCTCCATCGCCGCCGCCGTCGTCCAACGTTTTCCGGCACACATTTTTCTTGTTTTATTACTGTTTTCGATGAAATTAAGGTAAAGGAAAGGTAAGACGGGTTTTTGTTCCTTGGCCTACAGAATAACCAAAACCTCAGGCTAATCATTGAAAAACTAAGGTCTAAAATGACGGCGGGTTTGATAAAAATTGACTGTATTGCCCTCGCTGTGATGGGTAGGTTAGGTGAATGGTGGGGGTAAAATTGAGAAATATGGGTATATTTCTCCAAACACAGTTCACTTGGTTTTTGCTTTTCTTAAATTAATTAATTAATCGAGTTTTAATTTAATTAGTGAAACGGACTTTTGGTTTTAATTATTAATTTAGACTTTGTACCTTAAAATTAAATATTGTGTTCTCGAATTTTCCAACCACAATTTTTTTAATTTGTCCAAAATTTATCTTAAATGTAATACAACCAATTAAGAAGTAAACACTTATTAATAATTAATTTATGTAAAATATTTGATTGCCAGCCAAAAACAATAAAACATTTATTAATTTAATTTAATTGAGACGTAAAAAAATTGGATAAATTGGAAGTGGGGTTGTGATTTTCTTAGTTTGAATTTAACCCAAAAAGATAAAAACCAATTCCTATCCTGGAATTAAAACAAGATTTATCACATATAATTTAATTTATAAAGATCTAAATCTAAAATATAGACACAGAAATATATGTGAAATTAGCTCTTCCATTGATTTGGAGTGAATATATACAATATAAGTACTAATTAACTCAGTTATTGGGCCCCCAACAGCTCAAGTACATGACAGTCCTCAAAGACTCCTCCGACTGCTTCCATTTCTGATCGGAAACCGCCGCAGTCGACGGAGAAGAAAGCTTCTTCGCCTGAGAAACCGATCTAACGTGGTTTTTGGCGTACTGCTGAACCGATTTAATCGCATGATTCCACCGGCAAACCCCTTGATCTTTTAAGGCCTCCACCACTCCCACACTGGCCGCTACAACCCAAGCTCTTCTCGACGAACTCATTTTAGCTCTTTTCAAATCTCTGTACTGAGTGTTTCTTCTGCTTCTTGTGAATCTTCAACGCTGCTGTTAAACTCGGGATGGTGGTTATATATATAGACAGAGATTAGATTGTACCGGGAAAAAGAGCCCCTGGTTTTCCATTTTTCCCGTGGTCGAAAGTGGACATAAATGCCCTCGGGAAGCCACGTGTCGGGTAAGAGAGGGGAGGGGTAGATTTGGGTTTTTGGGTTTGCCACGAATTAGTGTAGCCGCCAGCCGGCACCTGGTTTTGAACTTGGTTAGACATTGGAATCCAGGAGTATAGGAGCCTAAACCGCTGCGAGAAACAATTTGACATTAAAAATTAATTAAATAAATAAAAGGTATTTAATTTAAGTAGTCTTAAAATTCTAATTACTTTAGTTAATTCTTTTTTAAATGGATTAATAAAGTAATTTTGGTAATTTGTTTGTATTTATTTCTTTTTTAATTAATTTTATTAAGTGACGAATTAACAAAAGAAGATCAATATGAACAAATAACATATTCGTAATTAAATTTTATTTTCTCACCATCCATTGTATCTGGATATATTTCACAATTACTTTATCCCATATTATTTATTATTTTTTTTACACCTAGAGAATACCGCTAAACTTTGTATGGATCGTGTCCATGCTAACGGAGATTTAATTATGACTCATATATTTTAAAAATATATATTTTAGGCTTTTAATTTAAACTGATAATTCATGATTAAGAGAACTAACATCGATATTAATATCATATTCAAGGTACCCAATTCAATACACACGGCTATAATACAAATCCCCACGGCGGTTCAAGGAGGAATTAGTGAGCTCGCCTGAGAGCCTCTCCGGCGGGGTTCAGTTCAAATGCATGACAGTTCTGATTCTGAAAGATTCTTCCGGTAGCTTCTGCGGATGCTCGCCGGAAACCACGGCGGCCGATGAACTGGTTATTCTCGTGGCATGAGTCACCGGTCGGACAGGGTTTCTGGCGTAATGATGCGCCGATATGGAGTAATGCGGCTGGTTATTTTGTATTTCGAAACTGCCCCTGGTTTTTTGTTACGGTGGTCGGGCCGGATTTGTATGTTTTTTTTTTCCACTGGACGCGATTACCCCTTGAAACCGGATTCTTTTAGCGGAGTGGAAGGGTAGAGTGGGGTTTTTCGGTAGCTTCCAAGGACAGGTTTGTTTGCACGACGTGAACGTGGAATTCTAAGGCCGAAACCGCCTTCCTAAACCGGAGGAGTTGGACTTGGAGAGTGACAACATTGTGCCGCTCTCGGTGAAACAGGATAAGTATACATGAGGGTAATTACGTCAATTCACACCTTTTTGGATAAATTATTAAAAGCTCAATATTTTCTATAGCCATATGTATATTGTCTTTCACACTTTAATTTTGGATATATATTTTTGTAATTAATCTCTATTGTTTTTAAATTTGAAATTACAATTCTTGAAAGAATCAGACATCTCCCATTAATTACAATTACAAACTGATGAAGGGAGGAAGAAGAAGGCAAAAATGAATCATATACTATTAGCTCATCAGATCCAACACCGGCCGGCGATGTCTTTATGGAATTCACTTCGCTCGAACCGCCCCGGTCCAACCGCAATCTCAATGCGAATCTGGGCGGTTCAGTTATTAGGACCCCAACAGCTAAGGTACATGACCGTTCTCAGAGATTCCTCAGACTGATGCAGCTGCTTGCCGGGAGCGGGAGGCACGGCGGCGGAAAACTTCTTGGCCTGAGAAATAGACCCAACGTGGTTTTTGGCGTAGTGGTGGGCGGATCTTATGAAATGGTTCCACCGGCAGATTCCTTGATCCTTGAGGGCCTCCACGACGCCGACGCTGGCTGCCACAATCAACGCTCTTGTTGAAGAACTCATTTTTTCTCTCTAAGTCTCTGAATTTTTTGGTTGCTGAGTCTGAGTTTTTGCTGGTTTATATACAGAAAGACTGCCGCAGCTGTGGAATAGGAGCCCCTGGTTTTGCTTGCTTGTTTTGTTCCAGTGGTGTATGGGACGGGACGGGACCCACGCTTTTTGTTCTAAGTGGACTTAGTTGCCCCCTTGAAATTGCGGTTTGGGTTTAGAAGTGGAGGGGTAGAATTGGGTTTTGAAGCAAGATTCCAAAACGAGCTACATATCCAGTTAAGTTGGAATTAGCCTCGGTATTTCTTCCCCTGGATTGTGGAAAAACAGCTGAATTAAAAATTAAGGATTATTGCTGTCATTTCTCAAAATTCCATGTTTTTTTTTTTGTTAAATTGTATTTTTGGTTGATAACTCATATGATCAAGAATTTCTTTTGATAAGAAGACTCCCAGGCTCACGGTTGTAGATATTTTCGGTTATCATCCATCACGCATTGCTTCATTGTTTTAAAACGCATCTATTTAAGAGAGATTTACACACTTTTATTATAAATGTTTCGTTCTTATCTCCAACCGACGTAGAATCTCAAAATTTACCCCCCTTTGAGATCCAGCATCCTCTTGGAACACCGGTCGGTGTTTGGCTCTGATACCATTTGTAATGCTCCAAGCCCACCGCTAGCAGATTTTGAAACGCGTTTACTAGATTGAAATTTTCTGATCCTTAAAAGAAGGTTTAATTTCCCTTTTCATCAGAGAGATTTCACATTTTAATTCCCTCCATTTGTATTTCCATAAATATAGAATCAAATACATCATAGATAAGTTTGATTCTCTTTTCATCTCAAGAAATTAGGGTTTTAGGGCTTTTTACGGTAATATATACTTTCGGTTTGGTTCAACATTCTCAAACTTTAAATCCTTATCTAATTTTAAATGAGGCACAACAATCAAAATTAATGACTACAAAAACTTTGCCTCGTCGAACATCAAAATGAAGCGGACACTCAAAATCACTTGTTAGGCATAGTCATCATTTACGGTCAAAGCTTCCTTTTATCTAATCGATGATGGCACTTTTTGTGCAGAATCCTACTTTACAATAACAAGATTGCCACGAGAGTAATTTCGAGAAAGAAATGAATTGGTCAGAGACGTCATGAATTAGGGCCCCAACAACTCAAATACATGACGGTTCGAAGCGATTCTTCAGCCTTTCTTAATCTGTCCCTCTCACCGCCGTGTTTGGCGCCTGAGCCCGAGCCCGAGCCATCGCGGGAAAATGTGATAGTTTGCTTTGAAGAAACAGAAGAAGAAAACTTAGCCGAGGAAGAAGTAGAATGATCCGAGCTATAGTTTGTGTATCGTTTCTCGCCAGTTTCTGCAGCCATCATGAAAAAATATCACAAATTTGTTTAGAGAAATGGCGAATTTGGCTCCAAAACTGGTTGGATTATGATGAACTAAACAACTTGAGCTCCTATTTATAGACCCAAAAAAGCTTTTTAAAGTAAAGGCATCTTCCACTTGTCACGTGTTAAGATATTCACTTCTTTAATTTCAAATAAAAATTATTTTTAATATAATAAACCAACTCAATATATATATATATATATATATATATATATATATATATATATATATATACACACACACACACGTATGTATGTCATTTTTACGAAAATATAGATTATGAAACAAATAAATATAATCACATTACGAGTAGATTATTTTTAATTAATTGTAAATTTTAACAGTAATGAAAAAAGGTGGTGAATTTGAGCTTATATAAGAAATAAAATTGCCATAAAAAAACAATGGAAAAGGTGATGGATCTTAAGCTTCCACTTGTATTAAACCAAAGGCATTAAAATATTTTTGAAGTATAGAGCTTAAGACCAACCCTAATGTCTACATAGGAAGACATCTTTCCCAGGTCCCGAAGAAGAAAAAGGCTTAGCACAAGGCCAAAGAACAGGCAGACCAATTAGATTCTTACGTTATTTTTATTCGCTACTCTTTCTCGTTAAGAGTGATAACTTAGCCATAAACTAAATATGCATAGTTCAATGATGACTATTATTTACTACAGTCACGTCCTCGATAATTTCAGTGAGTAGTGAAAGATGATTTCAGTATTCAATCTATTTCCATTGTTTTCGAGTTTAAAACTGATTTTCTATGGTCTATTTTCCTTAAATTTCGGCCCTCTTTAAGCTATCAATATGTCCCTCCATACTGACTCTACCTTGAAGAAAGAAAAAGATATTTGACTGATCACCCCCTCTGTTAAGAACCTTGTGTCCTATCAAGCCTCCTAACTTTCAAACTTTCATTTCAACGTAAGATATAAGATACCCTCCTGAAAGAAGCCTTCAATATATACTTTCCAAGTCTGCTCACTGCAAACAAATATTGTCCGCTTTGACTCATTACATATCGTCATCAGTCTCACAGTTTTAAGACATGTTTACTAGAGAGAGGTTTCCACACTCTTATAAAGAATGTTTCGTTCCCCCTCTCCAACAAACGTGGGATCTCACATATAAGCTAGTTGAAATTATAAATATGGAAAATGAACTTTTTTGTTTTATTATTGAAGCAAAATAAAAGAATAAAGGTGGTTTAGGATGAAATAATATTTGGGAAGAAAGCATATAGGCATGTGGAATGAAGGATAGGAAGGACACGTTTGGATGAATTGGATAAGATCAAACCCAATTTATATACCAAATTTGGTACTTCCAGATCTTGTCTCCCTTCTTTTCACTTCCCTCCAACTCGGCCTTTATTTATTTCTATTAATATTTTTAAACTATATATTTGAATTATGGTTATTAAAAAATAATATTATTTTGGGCTTATTTGATTGTTTGTGAAGCCCATTTAGGGATAATGTTTGGGCTCAATCTTAAGCGAGCCCACAGAAAACGAAGCCCAATTCGGGTCCGATTTTCCACAAAACTCCAAAATCACTCCAAAAGAGCTTTTCTTCAAGTCGGAGAAGAGAGGTCAAAAGATCTGTCCATACAAATGGAAATCTGCCACGTGTCGACAATTTACTGGCTTCTTGTGTGAAGGTGTAGAAACTTACACTTGGATAAGCCTCTCTATTATGACCTCTCAGTCACACTCTCTGTTCCTTCTTTTTCCCGAGAAAATTTCTTGGAATTTTGTGTATTCTATACGACTTTTCTCCCACTCTTCTTCTTCGATATGAAATCCATTTCCTCCGGGAGTTCGTAATCTTCGCAAGTTTTTTCTCATTCTTCTTCAATGGCGGCTGTAAATTCCGTATCATTCTCGGCATTAAGTCAATGTTCTGATAGACGATTGCCGATTCCCTCGGCTCGTTCACTCGCCTCGCATTTCGACGGGTTTCGTTTTCGTAAGAGCGTTTTCTGTCATTATTCCGGAGTTCGGACACCCAGCTTCAATTCTCGCATGGTTATTCATTGCATGGCATCCGGAACAGGTAGCTTCTGGTGATTTGTTTTCCTTGCTCGCTTACTAGATTGTTAAATTGTCAGAAAATGGTAGCAGAAGAAAAGAGGCTCGTTTCGCTGATTTCGATTGAGTTTGATTTATTTTTTCCTTAATTGTGAAGATGGAACATTATGGAGGGAATTAGAAGTTTTAAGTAAGAATTAGGCTTTCAGTAGTTCTGTTGGATCATTTCTAAACTATCTGTAGTGTGTTGAGATTTCTCTAGTTTGCTTTCTTGCTACTTGAGTCTAGTAACTGATGCGTTATTTTGACGGCTCAGATGTAACAACTGTAGCCGAGACTAAAGCGAACTTCCTCAAGGCGTATAAACGGCCTATCCCTAGCATTTACAACACCGTTGTGCAAGAATTGATTGTCCAGCAGCATTTGATGAGGTATAAGAAGACTTACCGTTATGACCCTGTTTTCGCCCTTGGTTTTGTTACTGTGTATGATCGACTTATGGAAGGGTACCCTAGCGATGAGGATCGTGATGCCATCTTCCAAGCATACATTAACGCATTGAATGAGGATCCAGAGCAATATAGGTTTGGCCATGTATTCCCCTTTTCTTTTACCATCCCCGATCTCTATCCTCTTGTCGGTTAGAAATTTCATTAGCCTTACTTATACGTAGACACTGTTGAGTTAAAAAATCATAACCCGATTCCCCTTATAGCAAAATGACGGCGATTCTGATTTGGACTTGGCTTTCTATACGACTAGATTGATCTGTCTAATTAGCTAGTATCAAATGTTAGTGGATGTTCACAAAGTAGTATTAATGACTTTTATTTGTAGCTGGCAATCAAATTTTACGAACGTTTATTCTCTGTTCAATTACTCCAAGAGTCTAAGTTCTTCCCTGTATATTAATTCCAACCTTCGATCATTCTTCCAATAATTTCAAGAATGTCTTTCTTTATTTAAAATATATATATACTTTTTTTGTACTGTCAAGAATTGATGCCCAAAAATTGGAAGAGTGGGCTCGGTCTCAGACTGCAGCTTCATTGGTTGAGTTTGCATCAAGAGAAGGAGAAGTTGAGAGTATTTTGAAGGACATTGCAGAACGAGCTGGGAGCAAGGGGAATTTCAGCTACAGCCGATTTTTTGCTATTGGGCTATTTCGACTCCTTGAATTGGCAAATGCTTCTGAACCCAGTATCTTGGAAAAGGTTATTTCATATTCCTTTTTGTGATATAGCTTTTAAGTAGATGAACATTTTGATGTGACAGTTTATTGAGCTCATTATTGCTAAATTGAATGATAGCTAGCCCCTCTCAAAGGACTACTACTGATAGATTATATTCTTTCTCTGAGTGCTACCATTTGTAAATTATTATTGTGTTTCTTCCTCATTAGTTACTTTTTTAGTCGTTATAGAAATTGGAAGTTAGTGAAATATTGCCTAACATCAGTCTATTTGCGGTATTCCCGGCCCCACACACACACACACACACACACACACACACGTACAATGCTTTCTTGAGATTTCCTTTCACTCTTGTGAAGGCCAACTTTATTTATCGTGTCTATCACTGAAGATACGATATTTCTGTTCTTTTACATCAACTAAAGCTATATAATTGAACAGTTTCTTTTACATAGCTGAAGCCATGTGATGGAGTTTTGACCGAGTATTGGCATCTAACTTGTTGCTACTCCTGAACAGCTATGTGCCGCTTTAAATGTTGACAAAAAAGGCGTGGACCGAGACCTTGATGTATACCGTAACCTGCTTTCGAAGTTAGTTCAGGCGAAAGAGCTCCTAAAGGAATATGTCGATAGGTAAGAGACTGCTAAGTTCATGGCAGATTAATATGCGCTATCAAACCATCATTCTTTC